TATCCCTCCCCGCTGAAGCTCTGTTTCTCCACTGCGCAGCACGCCTCCTAAACCCCAGGACAGAGGAGGCCTCGTCCCTGCCTTCTCCGCCGGGTCTTCAGCCCTCGTATCCCTTTTTTATTTTTGGTTTCTTTTTTTCTTTTTTTACCGTGGCGGGGTGGGGGGAGTTAGTAGCAGCAGCCTCGGGCCGAGCCGCCAAGCCGGGGCCTGGGGGGTTGGGGAGCCTGTCTGCTGGGCACTGTTGGTTTTTAAGATGATTGTACATGTGATTTTTGTTTCTTCCTGTTCTTACTTTGTGCTGCCCGTGTTACCGGCACCTTTCAATAAAATCCATTTGGAAACACAGCCAGGCTGGCGCACATCCTGAATGGCAGCACAGCATGGAGGGGCGGCGGGGAGGGTTTGGCACCCTCGCGCGGGTCTCCGGACTGGAGCCGTGGCCTGGTGCCCCTGAGATCTGGAAGGGGCCCACTCCTCAGCCAAAGCTTTGCTCTCGAGGGCCCCACCTCTGCGTCCCGGGGAGAGGTTTCTTCCTCTCAAAGCGCCGTTCCCAACCCTGAGCCACTCAACAAAGAGGAGCTGTGTGAGGGGGAGACAAAGATTTCTTTTCAGTGAGCTGGAGCCGTCAAACCTGGCCACGGCCAAACTCGGGGGCCTTTTTATATTGGAACACAAGTGTTTCACGTGCACCAGGGCCTGCCCGCTTCCCGCTCAGCCAGGCGCGGTGCCTCTCGTAGAGCATTCGTGGGCTTACTCAAAGCAGCGGTTCTCAGCCACGAGGTCCCGGCAAGGACGCCACAACGGGTCAGCACCTGTCCAGATCTAGACGTGACCCATCAGAGGCTGTCGGCCAGCAGGTCCCTGCAGCGGAAGAATCGCTCTGTGCTCCGGCTCTGACCACAGCTCCACCCTGCCCAGTCCTGAGGGGAGTGAACTGGGGGTGGGGCGGGGGTTCCCCCCTTCCTCTCCCAGTGGCAACCTCCAGCCTTGAAGGGCTGGGGCGATCCCCAGGCAGAGGCTCAAAAGGTCTGGCTGCCCCTTTCCCCCAAGAATGAGGCCCCAGCCCTTTTTGAATGCATAGTTGAAGAAGGAGAGAGGGGCTGGGGTTTTCTGCAGCTCCTCTCAGGGGCTGGAGTGCTACAGGAGGGGGCTGGGGCAGGATCCTGGTCCAGGAGGAGTGGCGTGTAACCTGGGCCTTCATTTCCCCCATCCCACCACTGACGGCCGAGGGCAGCTCCCTGCAGCCGGAGGTGGGCTGTCTCCAGCCCCACTGCGCACCATTCACGGGGGTGGTTTGGGGCCAGAGCCCAGGTTTAAACACACGGACTTTTATGTAAAGCAGCGATTCTCAACCGCAGTCACCCCAGCGTCGCCCCTCACCCCAGGGCCTTGAGATCCTTTTGGGGGGGGGGGTGCCTGCTGGGTCCACAAAAGACGATGGAGCTAAACCCGGAGTCGCCCTCGCCGGCCCGCCACGTGCTTCCCGGTCAAGGCGCTACTTCCGGCCTGGCCGG